TAATATATATATATATATATATATATATATACATTATTTAGCTCATATATATATATATATATGTATGAGCTAAAGTGTAGGTTTTGGAAATTTAACAAGAATAATTATTTTAGAAATTAAAGGTAATCCACTTGAAGGTATTGTGACAAAAATGAATTAAAACTCCATTTTAAAGTCAGGGTATAGAAACTTGCTGCAACAAATTAGACAGTATTCAGGGTATAAAGATAAACACTACTCAGCCCACTCATTCTTCTTTCGTATGTGTTTCTTTCAAATCACATTTTACTTCTCATGTCATGTGTGTATAAAATTTATAAAAGGGACGAAAACTAATTCATGAATAAATTCTGCAGATTATCTTACATCTCAGAATAGCTTTTATCATTCATTTTAAAGGCAATTATCTGCAAAGATAATTACAGAGTCACACTCTTGTCTCAAAACTTTTGTTTTCTCTAAATGAAATAATTGGGCTTATTTATACATTTGTATGTTTGGGAGATGTTTGTTTCTTTTTGTTTTTCATGTCTTTTTTCCTAAACATTGCTGTTGTCTTGGTGATACACATATCAGCTCTAAATTTTTATATATCAGTTATTTTGGCAAGAAATTAAGCCAAATGTGTTATAACTATTGGAAGTGACTTAAGTCACATATTTTTAAAAAGATAGGATTATTATTTTTTGAATTCTAAAACGGTTAAATTCAGTATGAGTGTGGAACTATTAATATCATACTTTGTGGAAGGAACATAAGAATAATAAATTTTCTAAAATGATAAAGCAACTTTCAAATCTGGATATTTGTATATGAAATGCAAAGTATGTGCTAGTCACAATCAATGAGGTTCTTCACGCCTTGCTATTAATTTTATATACTCTTCAATGTATCCCACCTACTAATAAAGTTCAGTTCTCTCAATCTGTATTAATTTTTTTAAATAACAACTTGCTAATCTCCTAGAGAGACACAGTAGGGATCGTGACTACAGGTGACAATAATAGACCATTGCCTGAAATATTACCTTGACCTTGGCATTTATGTTTTCAATAGTAACAGAGGCAGTCAGTCATGTCAACATCATTCACCTGGGTATGGAGTGATTTAATGGAAAGTAACAAATTCATTAAAAGTCTTGATGGCTGTTCTAGAAGCTTTTTTTCTGAAATAGGTTTGATAAAAGCCTTTTAACAATAAACTCAAAAAGTAAGTAAGACATGTGAGAGGAAAGAAAACATGCTGTAGTGGAATGATTGATGAGGTGGCTGTGAACATTATCCTTGGGAAACTAGGTATAGAATGGACAAATCATTAGACCCTGAAGATCACCAACTAAAGTAGCTAAAGCTTTTGTCTCTGAAAATTGGAGATTACATGTTACATAAATCATATAATGCTGCAAAATTCAGTTTTCTTTGGATCAACAGTAGAGTTTACTGGGCTTCCAGATTTTCCCTTTGACAAGTTAGTTGAAAAATAACTTTATTCAGACTTCCATAGTAGAGGTACAATAAAAATCTAAACATATTATTTGCCTTAATGTTTATTTTTTGTTTTAAAGAATTCCTAAAATAAACAGAAGTGAGTGTACCTTCTGCTCCTGCCCTACTCCTGCCCAATGTGCTCATCACCCCCCATCTCTCTGGGCCTGTGCCTGCATAGAGTGGACCTGTCCAGACAGGTCAGACCACTCTGAGTCTGGAAACACCTCACTCTTCCTTCCTCCTTGGCTGGACCAACCTCTCCTGAGATGAGTGTAACCTCTGCTCCTGCCCTACTCCTACCCAACACCCCAACACATCCCAACCCTATCTCTCTGGGCCTGCGCCTGCCATAGATTGGACCCGTCCTGACAGGGAGGACATCCTTGAGTCTGGAAACACCTCACTCTTCCTTCCCCCTCTGCTACCACAAGTCCTGTTGAGTGAGGAGACTACCAAGAGTGGCAAGATCATCCAGAGCTGCAGACCTTGAAATATTGGCACACACACACAACCGGGTGGCAAGAAGAGATAGAGACCCCACCTGCACCCACTGGAAGAAGAGATGGGAAGAAGACAGAATAAGAACACACTCAACAACAGAAAGACTAATATGATACCATGAGAATCTAGGGAATCCATACCAGCGAGATCTGAAGAGCATAATGCAGAGGACGAAGAAGAGGTAGACCTTAAAAATTATCTTAGGAATATGATAGAGACAATTAAAGAGGAAACAAGAAAATCCCTTAAAGAAATAAAAGAAAAAACAAGCAAAATTTACATGAAATGGAGGAAAATACAAACAAAAAAATTCAAGAAATAAACAAATCTCTTAAATAGTCTAAAGAAAGCAAAGAAAAAAACAACCAAACAAGTTTAGGAAGCACTCGAAACGGTTCAAAGAATGAAAGGTGAAATAGAATCAATAGAGACATTTTTGGTTTACAGAGAAATCAGGCACTAGGGAAATGTCTGGAGATCTACAAAGATGATGCCAGCTATCTCAGCAATGGAGGAGAGGCTACCTGAAATGTCCTCCCCTGATTATGAGATTGATGACTGACTTATATGACTTAATTCAGAAGCTGGTAGAAGTAGAAGCAGACACCCATAACTAATCACCGATCTGAACTAGAACCCAGATTCAGAGAAGGACCAGTGAAGAGCACTGAGATCAAGACCACACTGGTGAAACACACAGAAACAGCTGACCTGAACATTCTGGAACTCTTGTTCCCCAGTCTCATAGCTGGAACACCAGCATGGGACTGGTCCAGACCCAAAGAATATGGGTTTCTGTGAGGAAACCTCAGAAATCTATGAGACCTCCTATAGAAGCCCAGTATTTATCCCTAGAATAGGTGTGGACTTTGGGAGCCCAGTCCATATAGAGGAAAACTCCCTGAGCCAAGACACATGGGGGTGGGCCAAGACTCTATCCCAAAGGAAACGAAAGACTCTGATGACACCCTATGGAAGGCCTCACCATCCAGGGGGAACAGAAAAGATATGTGACAGATAAGGTTTTAGTTGGGGGGGGCAGGTAGGGGATGATATGCAGGAGAAGGGAAATGGGATTGTCATGTAAAACAATCCTGTTTCTAATTCAAATAAAAAAAAGTTGGGAAGAAAAAAGAAAACAGAGACTGAGGTGATGCCAGAAATAGAAAGGCTGGATAAATGATCAGGAACTAAGGATGTGAATATAATCAATAGAATACAAGAGGTGGAAGAGAGAATCTCAGTTGTTGAATACTTGCTATAGGATATACAGTCATGGAACAAAGAAAATCTCAAGTCCAAGAAATCCTTAACACAAAATATCCAGGAAATATGGGACACCATGAAAGACCAAAGCTAAGGAAAATTGGTATAGAAGAAGGTGAAGAAACACAACTCAAAAGTGCAGAAAGCATATTCAACAAAATCATAGATGAAAATGTTCCCAACCTAAAGAAGGATATGCCTATGAAAGTACAAGAAGCTTACAGAACAACAGACTAGAACACAAAAAAGTCCCCTCACCACATAATGATCAAAATGCCAAAATTGCAGAATAAAGAGAAAATATTAAGAGCAGCAAAGGAAAAAGGCCAAGTAACATATAAAAGCAGACCTATCAGAATTACATTTAACTTCTCAACAGAAACTTTGAAAACCAGAAGTTCCTGGATAGATATCCTACAAACACTAAGGGAACATGGATCCCAACCCAGAATACTATACCCAGCAAAGTTTTCAATCACTATATATGGAGAAAACAAGATATTCCATGACAAACCCAGATTTAAACAATACATATCCATAAATCCAGCACTACAGAAAGTACTGGAAGGAAAACTCCAAACCAATGAAGATAACTACACTCACAAAAACATAGGAAATAGATAATGAAACATTACCAAACATGTAAACAAGCAGGAGGACGAAATCCACACACAATGACACCACCAACATTAATCCAAAATAAACAACAACCAACAATCAATGTACATTAATACCCTTCTATGCCAATGGTATTAACCTTCCTATAAAAAGATACAGCCTAACAGAATGGATATGAAGACAGAATCCATCCTTCTGCCAAATACAAGAAAGACACCTCAACTTCAAAGACAGGCTTTACCTCAGTGTAAGGAATTGGGAAAGGATATTCCAATCAAATGGACCCAAGAAACAAG